CGGTTCTCCTAGAGTATAGACATACCATGTAGTGCTCTTCTGATGTCAACATTTCCGCTAAGTCAGCATCTACATAGCTGTCAGTATCGTACTCTACCTTTGAAACAAAGTGCTTTGTTTGTGGTACCCCGCAGATATCTGAGAATCCATTTGACTGCTTCCCAGTGTATTTTGCCTGGATTATTCATGTACCTGCTAACAGCTCCCACTGCATGAGCAATATATGGTTTGGTAAAAACCATGGCATACATCAGACTTCTAATTGCTGAGGCATACGGTACCTTCACCATGTGTGCACATTCTTCCTCCGTCTTTGGTGAATGTTCTTTGGAGAGTCTAAAATGAACACCTAAAGGTGTACTTACTGGTTTAGCATCTTGCATGTTGAACCTAGAGAGTACTTTGTTGATGTACTCAGCTTGTGATAACATCAAAGTCCCCAACTTTGTGTCTCTCTTAATCCTCATCCCAAGAATCTGCTTTGCTGCACCCAGATCTTTTATTGCAAACTGCTTCGACAATTTTTGCTTCAAGTTTATAATCTCTTGCATGTCTGAGCCTGCAACGAGCATGTCATCAACGTACAACAATAAAATAATAAAGCTGTTGTCGAACCTCTTGATGTAGAAACAATGATCTGCTTGGCATCTGGTAAAACCACTGCTACTCATAAAGCTATCGAACTTCTTGTACAACTGTATAGGAGCTTGTTTTAAACCATACAAGCTCTTCTTCAACCTGCATACCAGGTTTTTGTTTTCTGCCTCTATGAAGCCTTCTGGCTGCCTCATATAGATTTCTTCCTCCAAATCACCATGAAGGAAAACTGTCTTTACATCTAACTGCTCAAGATGTAAATTCTCTACAGCTATAATTTTCAACACCAGTCTGATTGTAGACAGTTTTACAACTGGAGAGAAAATTTCGTTGTAGTCAATACCTTCCTTTTGCTGAAAACCTTTGACAAGCAATCTTGCTTTATAGCGTTTTCTCCCATCGTGCTCTTCTTTGATCCTGTAGATCCACTTGTTATGGAGCGCTTTCTTGCCTGGTGGTAATTCAGCTAATTCCCACGTCTGATTTGACATAAGCAAGTCCATATCATCTTTCATGGAAGACTCCCACTTGACTGAATCCTCCACTTGCATTGCTTCATCATAGCACTCTGGTTCACCATTGTCAGTCAGCAACAAGTAGTGCAAAGAAGAAGAATACCGTTGGGTTGGTTTAGGAATCTGGAGGAGCGTCTTAGTTCCGGTGTGCCTGGTTCTTCTTGAACTGCTTCAGGACTGATCTGAACATCATTTCCAGAAATCTCCTCGAACTCAGCAAATTCCTTTGTTTCAGCTTTAGTATTTGAACTGCTTGATTCTACAGTTGACCTGTCTTTGTACATCACATTCTCATTGAAAATGACATCTCTGCTTCTGATGATCTTCCTATTTTCATAGTCCCAAAACCGGTAGCCGAACCATCACACATAACCAACAAAGACACATTTGTTGGACTTGGCATCAAGTTTACTTGTTTCAGCAGAGTTTATGTGTACATAAGAAATACAACCAAACACTCTTAAGTGTGAAAGGTTTATTTCTTTCTTGCTCCAAACTTCCTCTGGTATTCTGCCATCCAAAGGAACTGAGGGCCCACAGTTGATCAGGTAAGCTGCAGTGTTGATAGCTTCAGCCCATAGAAATTTGGGCAACCTGACATGTATCCTCATACTTCTGGAACATTCATTCAAAGTTCTGTTCATGCGCTCTGCTACGCCATTCTGTTACGGTGTCATGGGAACTGTTGTCTCCATCTTGATCCCATTGTTTGCGCAAAATTCTCTGAATCTATGATTTTATTACTCTCCTCCATTATCAGACCTCAACCGCTTGACTTTCAGACCAGTCTCATTTTCCACCATGGCCTTCCATTTTCTGAAGGTATCAAAGACTTCTGATTTCTTCTTCAGAAAATAAACCCACACCTTCCTTGTAGAATCATCGATGAAGGTGACATAATATAATGAGCCTGCAAGAGATGGAACTGGAGATGGTCCCCATACATCAGTATGAACTAACTCTAACTTTTCAGCCTTGGGTGTCTTACTATTCTTTGCAAAGCTGACTTTCTTTTGTTTGCCAAAGATACAATCCTCGCATAGTCCGACAACTACAATCTTTAAATCTGACAGCTTTCCTTTTGACAAAAGTGTCTTCATCCCTTTCTCGCTCATATGGCCAAGCCTTTGGTGCCATAGGTTTGATTTTCCATCAGCATCTGCTACTGCAATGATATTCTTTAAATTTGAGGTTATATAGAGAGTACCAGTTTTCTTACCACGAGCAATGATGAGTGCTCCTTTGGTAATCTTCCATTCACAGTATGAAAAGGTTGTGCTAAATCCTTCACCATCAAGCTATCCTACAGAAATCAAATTTCTTTTGAGGCCAGGAATATGTCTCACTCCTTTCAGCGTACAGGTGGTCTGGTTTGGCAACTTTAATCGGATGTCTCCTTTTCCGATGATCTTCAAGGTTTCATCATCGGCTAGATGAACCTTCCCAAAATCACCACTGACATAGTTCTCCATGATTTCTCGGCATGGGGTGGAGTGGAAAGATGCTCCTGAATCCAAGATCCATGATTCAATCAGACTGTTGACGCTTAGAATCATGGCATCACTTGTCTCCTCTATCACGTTGGTAGATTCCTGTGCGCCGGTATTTTTCTTCGGTGCTCGGCAATCTCTTTTAAAGTGACCCTTCTTGCCGCAGTATAACAGGTAAAATTTCTTCCCATTCTTGATTTTCCCGTTCTGGATTTGGATCTGCCACGATTTGAATTTCTTTATGAAGTTCTCCCTCTGGACTCCGTGTGCAAGGCTGAGGAGGTTGATGCTTCACCCGATTCTCTTCGTCGAATTTCTTCGCTCAGTACCAGATCCCGAACATCGTCGAATTTCAATTTACTATTTCCCGACGAGCTGCTAACTGCTGTAACAGTAGCATTTCAACTGTCTGGTAGAGATGATAAGAGAATTAAAGCTCGAACTTCATCATCGAATTCAATTTCTACGGAACTCAACTGGGTTGTGATTGTGTTGAGTTCATTTAGGTGTTGAGCCACCGATGCCCCTTCCGCCATCCACAAATTGAACAATCGTCTCATCAAATGAACTTTGTTTGAGGCTGATGGCTTCTCATACATACTGGAGAGAGCCACCATAAGACCGCCGTGGTCTTTTCCTTTGCTATGTTGAAAGCAACATTGCGGGATAACGTCAGTCGGATAACTCCGAGGGCTTGTCTATCGAGAAGAGTTCAGTCTTCATTCTTCATGCCCTCTGGTTGCTTTCCTGAGAGGGGTTGATATAGATTTTTTTAGTACAGAAAATCTTCAATCTGCATCTTCCAAAAGACAAAGTCCGCACCATCGAACTTTTCAATTTTCACCTTCCCTTCGTCTGCAGCCATCGCTCCTCGCTCCCACTCGAATCTGGATTCGTTTGGATCGTTTCTGACAATTCTTGCGAACTACCGTGTATTAGAACACCTCCTTCGACAAATTCTTATTATCGACAAAATTTTACTATTCACGAAATTTACTATTTATATGAATAGTAATTAATAGTGACCTCGCAAAAAAATTGACAAAACTTACAACCAAAAGCTCTGATACCAGTTGTTGGGAAATAACCGAGTACGAGTAATTTCCCTATAACCAGATTAGTGAGAATGCGAAATAAAAGCAGGAAAAATAATACCCGAAAATTGATAACGGAGTTCAACCAATTGTGCTTACGTCTCCGGACTGCTGCAGATATTTTATTAAGAGAGAAAATTACAGGTGTTTACAAAACACTCACTACTCACAAGAAAACTCTCTAGTAATGAGAGAAAGAAATGATTTTTGGGATGATTTTGAAGCTAAATGAGCTAGGGTATTTATAGCTGAAACTTAGGGACTAATCTTATAAATACCCTAAAATATGCAGTGACTAAAAATGTAATTATGCCAATTACATTTTAATTAAAAATTGGGGGCACTGAATTGTTGAAAACGTGCGTCCCCCTTTGTTAAAAATGTGCATAGGCGGTGCCCCCCTCTCCTATCTTTGTTGAAAATGTGTTACCTGCGCCCCCATTTCTACGCCCATCATTTTTGACTTTTCTCCAACATATAATATATATATGGTTTAAATTATATTTTTTATTTTAAGTTACTTAATATTTTTACCTTAAAAATAAATTTAAATCCCTAATTTTTTTTCTTAGATTTGTATTATGTACTTTTAAGTTTAAAATTTTACAATTTTTTTATTGATTTGTCAATGTGAGATTCAAAAAAATCACGATTGATATTAATAATTTCAATTTTTTCTTTTGGAAATAAACTTTAATATATATATATATCCAAATATTTATCCTTAAAACTAACTTCAAATCACTAATTTTTGTGTATGAATTGTGTATAATGAACTTTTAAATTTTTATGTATTTTCTAGGTGATTTAAAAAAAATTAAATTAAAAAAAAGATAAATTAGATACATGTGACCCGAAAATACATATACTCAAAATTTATAGGTACCTGACTTCCAGGTACCCAAACTTAACAGGTCAAATCACGGGCCAACATATATACTACCCGGTACTTCGAGTGTCTGGTTTTGAACACCCCTACTTAGAACAATTGTAATGTAATTTACTCTCCCTTCAAAAAAAAAAAATAATGTAATTTACTCTGTATTTTAAATGAACTAAATTGCCCCCAAACTTAACAGGTCAATCACGGGCCAACATATATACTACCCGGTACTTCGAGTGTCTGGTTTTGAACACCCCTACTTAGAACAATTGTAATGTAATTTACTCTCCCTTCAAAAAAAAAAAATAATGTAATTTACTCTTGTATTTTAAATGAACTAAATTGCCTATTGGGCCTGGACTGAATATCAATGAATGTCCAGATCCAGCTCGTTCTTTATAATGAGTCTCACGCAGTCTCCTTTGTTTCGTTTTTCTCCTGTTTTTTTCTTCTCCTTTTGATTCTTTAAAAGTTGGGATATATGCTATGAAGATAACGCCTGGAAAGGAAATTCGATTGCGCGATTTGTTTCATAACTAATCCGCGAAATGAATCCTTGATATATTCTGGTTCGTATTCACTGAGCATCGCTTCCCTCTTCCCCTTTGCTTTCGATTTATGATTTGTAGCCTGCACTGATTTGATTTCCATCAATAATTATTCTGTGTGGAGAAACGAAGGACCTATGGACGGAGTGCCAAAACGATGCACTTTAATCCAAGTTTGCCTTCGAGAATCAATGTTGAGATTGGACGACCCGGGCCGACGATCTCTTTCGGTCCGGTGTGTTAGTTGATTCTGGTTTTCTGCTCGTTAAAACAAAATGGTTATTGGTTTTTTGTATGTTCCCCTTTATTTTTGCTTTCTAGTTTGGTTGAAGTGGCGAAGGTCCCAGCAGGAAGGGTGTGAAACTCTTTGAATCGAAACCTTTCTAACAAATTAACAAATGCCTTCGCAAATCCATTTTGCGGAATCGTAGGATGCCCAATACTCCATCTTTGGAGCGTCTTGAACCTTCGGCTACATTTTCCTCAGCCTCAATATTGATTAAAATAGAGCGTCAAATACACTTGATCTCAACTATTCGGTTTGATTTACAGGTAATTCTGTCGTAAGGTCAACGAGTGATAGAAAATGAACGAATCAAAAATATTAGGAGGAAATATTTTTTATTGTCAACTGAAAAATAAATTTATAACATTTTTAATTATGTCAATTCTATATTATTTCTTAATCTCAATTTGGTATTTTAATAACTTTACCTTAAACTTGGTTTAGAAACGTTTTTTATTTTGAATTTTACTCATTGAATCAGAGTTCTCTGTGTTGAAATTATTAAAATGGTTTTCAAGTTTGGTAATCAACTTTGAAAAAATAGTTTTCAAAGTTTGGTAAATGTTTCTTTGAAAATGGTTTTCAAAGTTTGGTAAATGTTTCTTTGAAAAATAGTTTTTCAAAGTTTGGTAGATGTTTGTTGAAAAATGATAATGGGATAATCACAATTAATCCCTAGGCTTTAGGGTATTTACAAGATTAAGTCCTTAAGTTTCAACTAAATACCCTAGCTCATTTAGCTTCAAAACCATCCCAAAAATCATTTCTTTCTCCCAATACTAGAGAACTTTCTTGTGAGTAGTGAGTGTTTTGTAAACACCTGTAATTTTTCTCTCTTAGTAAAAGATCTGCAGCAGTCCGGAGACGTAAGCACAATTGGCTGAACTCTGTTATCAATTTCAGGTATTATTTTTCTGCTTTTATTTCGTATTCTCACTAATCTGACTATAGGGAAATTACTTTTACTTGGTTAATTTTCCAACAATTGGTATCAGAGCTTTTTGGTTGTGAATTTTGTCAATTTTTGTGAGGTTACTATTCACATGAATAGTGAATTTCGTGAATAGTAAAATTTTGTCGGCGATACAAATTTATCGACGGAGGTGTTCTAATACAACGGTGGTTCGCAAAAATTGTCAGAAATGATCCAAACGAAACCATATTCGAGTGGGAGCGATGGCTGCAGATGAAGGGAAGGTGAAAATTGAAAAGTTCGATGGTACGGACTTTGGCTTTTGGAAGATGCAGATTGAAGATTTTCTGTACCAGAAAAATCTATATCAACCTCTCTCAGGAAAACAACCAGAGGGCATGAAGAATGAAGACTGGGCTCTTCTCGATAGACAAGCCCTCGGAGTTATCCGACTGACGTTATCCCGCAATGTTGCTTTCAACATAGCAAAGGAAAAGACCACGGCGGGTCTTATGACGGCTCTCTCCAGTATGTATGAGAAGCCATCGGCCTCAAACAAAGTTCATTTGATGAGGCGATTATTTAATTTGCGGATGTCGGAAGGGGCATCGGTGGCACAACACCTAAATGAACTCAACACAATCACAACCAAGTTGAGTTCAGTGGAAATTGAATTTGATGATGAAGTTTGAGCTTTAATTCTCTTATCATCTTTACCAGACAGTTGGAATGCTACTGTTACAGCAGTCAGCAGTTCATCGGGAAACAACAAATTAAAATTCGACGATGTTCGAGATCTGGTACTGAGCGAAGAAATTCAACGGAGAGAATCGGGTGAAGAATCAACCTCCTCAGCCTTGCACACGGAGTCCAGAGGGAGAACTTCAGAAAGAAATTCAAATCGTGGCAGATCGAAATCCAGAAGTGGAAAATCAAGAACAGGAAATAAAGATTTTACCTGTTATAATTGCGGCAAGAAGGGCCACTTCAAAAAGAGATTGCCGAGCACCGAAGAACAATACCGGCGCATAGGAATCTGCCAACATGACGGAGGAGACAGGTGATGCTATGATTTTAAGCGTCAACAGTCCGATTAAATCATGGATTTTGGATTCAGGGGCATCTTTCCACTCTCCACGCCATGCCAAGAATCAGGAGAACTATGTCAGTGGTGATTTTGGGAAGGTTCATCTTGATGAGATGAAACCTTGAAGATCGTCGAAATGGAAACCCGACTAAAGCTGCCAAACCAGACCACCTGGAAGCTGACAGGAGTGAGACATATTCCTGGTCTCAAAAGAAATTTGATTTCTGTAGGACAGCTTGATGGATAAGGATACAGTACAACCTTTTCAGGCTGTGAATGGAAGATTACCAAAGGAGCACTCGTCATTGCTCGTGGTAAGAAGACTGATACTCTCTATGTAATCTCAAATTTAGAGAATATCATTGCAGTAGCGATGTTGATGGAAAATCAAACCTATGGCACCAAAGGCTTGGCCATATGCGAGAAAGGAATGAAGATACTTCTGTCAAAAGGGAAGCTGCCGGATCTAAAGAATGTAGATGTCGGACTATGCGAGGATTGCATCTTTGGCAAACAAAAGAAAGTCAGTTTTGCAAAGATTGGCAAGACACCCAAGGCAGAAAGGTTAGAATTGGTTCATACTGATGTATGGGGACCATCCCCAGTTCCAACTCTTGCAGGCTCACTATATTATGTCACCTTCATCGATGATTCAACAAGGAAGGTGTGGGTTTATTTTCTGAAAAAGAAATCAGAAGTCTTCGATACCTTCAGAAAATGGAAGGCCATGGTGGAAAATGAGACTGGTTTAAAAGTCAAGCGGTTGAGGTCTGACAATAGAGGAGAGTACAGAGATAGTATATTCAGAGATTTCTGCGCAAACAATGGGATCAAGATGGAGACAAAATTTCTCATAACACCGCAGCAGAATGGCGTAGCAGAGTGCATGAATAGAACTATGAATGTACATGCCAGAAGCATGAGGATACATGCCGGATTGCCCAAATTTCTATGGGCTGAAGCTATCAACACTGCAGCTTACCTGATCAACCGTGGGCCCTCAGTTCCTTTGGATGGCGGAATACCAGAGGAAGCTTGGAGCAAGAAAGAAATAACCTTTCACACTTAAGAGTGTTTGGTTGTATTTCTTATGTACACATAAACTCTGCTGAAAGAAGTAAACTTGATGCCAAGTCCAACAAATGCATATTTGTTGGTTACGGTGGTGATGAGTTTGGTTACCTATTTTGGGACTACGAAAATTGGAAGATCATTAGAAGCAGAGGCGTCATTTTCAATGAAAATGTGATGTACAAAGACAGGTCAACCGCATAATCAAGTAATACCGAAGTTGAAACAAAGAAATTTACTGAGTTCGAGGAGATTTCTGGAAATGATGTTCAGATCAGTCCTGAAGCAGTTCAAGAGGAAGAACCAGGCACACCAGAACTGAGACGCTCCTCCAGAATTCCTAAACCAACCCAACGGTATTCTCCTTCTTGGCACTACTTGTTGCTGACTGACAATGGTGAACCAGAGTGCTATGATGAAGCAATGCAAGTGGAGGATTCAGTCAAGTGGGAGTCTTCCATGAAAGATGAGATGGATCGCTTATGTCAAATCAGACATGGGAATTAGATGAATTACCACCAGGCAAGAAAGCGCTCCATAACAAGTGGATTTACAGGATCAAAGAAGAGCACGATGGGAGCAAACGCTATAAAGCAAGATTGGTTGTCAAAGGTTTTCAACAAAAAGAAGGTATTGATTACAATGAAATTTTCTCTCCAGTCGTGAAGCTATCTACAATCAGACTGGTGTTGAAAATTGTAGCTGCAGAGAATTTACATCTGAGCAGTTAGATGTAAAGACAGCTTTCATTCATGGTGATTTGGAGGAAGAAATCTATATGAGGCAGCCAGAAGGCTTCATAGGTAGGCAAGAAAAACCTGGTATGCAGGTTGAAGAAGAGCTTGTATTGTTTAAAATAAGCTCCTAGACAGTGGTACAAGAAGTTCGATAGTTTCATGAGTAGCAGTGGTTTTACCAGATGCCAAGCAGATCATTGTTGCTACATCAAGAGGTTCGACAATAGCTTCATTATTTTATTGTTGTACGTTGATGACATGCTCGTTACAGGCTCAGACATGCAAGAGATTATAAACTTGAAGAAAAAATTGTCAAAGCAGTTTGCTATGAAGGATCTGGGCGCTGCAAAGCAGATTCTTGGGATAAGGATCAAGAGAGACACAAAGTCGGGGACTTTGATATTATCACATGCTGAGTACATCAACAAAGTACTCTCCAGGTTCAACATGCAAGATGCTAAACCAGTAAGTACACCTTTAGGTGTTCATTTCAGACTCTCCAAAGAACAGTCACCAAAGACGGAGGAAGAACGTGCACACATGGTGAAGGTGCCGTATGCCTCAGCAATTGGAAGTCTGATGTATGCCATGGTTTGTACCAGACCAGATATTGCTCAAGCAGTGGGAGCTGTTAGCAGGCATATGAATAATCCGGGCAAGGTACACTGGGAAGCAGTCAAATGGATCCTCAGATATCTGCGGGGTGCCATAAACAAAACACTTTGTTTCAAAGGTGGAGATACGATACTGACAGGCTATGTAGATGCTGACTTAGCCAGAAATGTTGACATCAGAAGGAGCACTACAGGGCATGTCTATACTCTAGGAGGAACCGCAGTGAGTTGGGTTTCTCAACTACAGAAGATAGTTGCTCTCTCCACAACTGAAGCATAATATGTCGCTGTTACGGAAGCCAGCAAGGAGATGGTTTGGCTCTAAAGTTTCTTGGAAGAGTTAGGCAAGAAACAAGAAAACAATGTCTTGTATTGCGACAGTCAAAGTGCTATACATCTAGCAAAGAATCCATCTTTTCATTCCAGGACAAAGCACATACAATTGCGATATCATTTTATCCGGTCTCTTCTAGAAGATGGGATTTTGAAACTTGAAAAGATCAGTGGAGCTCAAAATCCGGCAGACATGTTGACAAAGACGGTGACTACAGACAAACTGAAGTTGTGTTCAACTTCAGTTGGCATGCTAGAGTAACAAGACTAGAAAAGCTGTTGCATTGATCGAGGTGTGAAGACAGATTAAAATCAGTCTTCAAGTGGGAGATTGTTGAAATTATTAAAATGGTTTTCAAGTTTGGTAACCAACTTTGAAAAAATGGTTTTCAAAGTTTGGTAAATGTTTCTTTGAAAATGGTTTTCAAAGTTTGGTAAATGTTTCTTTGAAAAATAGTTTTTCAAAGTTTGGTAGATGTTTGTTGAAAAATGATAATGGGATAATCATAATAATCCCTAGGCTTTAGGGTATTTACAATATTAAGTTCTTAAGTTTCAACTATAAATACCCTAGCTCATTTAGCTTCAAAACCATCCCAAAAATCATTTCTTTCTCCCAATACTAGAGAGCTTTCTTGTGAGTAGTGAGTGTTTTGTAAACACCTGTAATTTTTCTCTCTTAGTAAAAGATCTGCAGCAGTCCGGAGACGTAAGCACAATTGGCTGAACTCCGTTATCAATTTCGGGTATTATTTTTCCGCTTTTATTTCGTATTCTCACTAATCTGACTATAGGGAAATTACTTGTACTTGGTTTATTTCCCAACACTCTGCCATGGAGGAAGTTTACTTAGTTCAATGTTTTATAATAAATATGAAATTGCTCTAATATATATTGGGTTTAATATGAAAATTTGTTCTTAAAATATATCTAAAATTGACTTTTGATGCCTAAAGAATTTTTAATAAGTGTTTGATATATTTTCTGTTACCCTTTTAGTGTCTACTATTAAAAGTATAACAAATAAACATTAGATACATATTTTAAACGAAAAATTCTTTAGGCATAAAAGTCAATTTTGGGTATAGTTTAGGCATTTATTTTTGTATTAAGCCTATGTATTGAATGTCAGATATGATTCATAGGGCTATAAACGAGTCAAGTCGAGCTCGAGTATCGTTGAGCTTGACTCGACTTGACTCGAAAACTCAAAAATGGAGCTCGACTCGGCTCGAAAACTTGCGAGCCTAAAATATTAAACTTAACTAGATTGAAGCTCAAACATTCAAACTCAAAACTAAACCTTAAATAAACGAAAACCTTATATTGTATTTTTAAAAAAAATCAACACATAAATGTTAATATTCTTAATAATTTATTTTTAAACAAGCTCGACTCGAACTCGAAACCATGAATTGAAGCTCGTAGAAGCTCAAAATGAAAAAAAATCTTAAATCTAATTCGATTGAAGCTCAAACAATCAAACTCGAACCCGAACCTTAAATAAATGAAAACCTTATATTGTATTTTTAAAAAAAAAAATCAACACATAAATGTTAATATTCTTAATAATTTATTTTTTAAAAAAAAAAATCTTAATATATTGTATTTTCAAGTTGCTCGTGAGGTTTTCGAGTCAAGTATCAAGTAGCTCGTTTCAGCTCATTAAGAACTTGAGTTGAGTCCATTCGAATCGAGGGTTTATCGAGCTTTGACCGAGTCGATCTCGAGTACCTCAAGATTTGTCTCGTCACACTTACAACCTTAGATATGAAATCATTTAAATTCATTGAATGGTTCTAATAGTTAAGGGAGTGTTGTTCACTTTAGAGATATTGTGTTTAAATAATTCCGTCTGTTAAGTGTATGTCTTGTCAATTATTAATAAAAATTTTAAACAAATTTTATTTTATAATCACTCTAGATTATTTTAAAAATATCAAACTACTTAGTGAATAGTTTATATTTATATATAGATAGAACATTTTCCCTTTACATCAAAATTGCATAAATGATTTAATACATTGAGTATTTTTGCTTTACAACAAATTTAAATAAATGAATTAACACAATAAATATTTTGTTAAACAATGAATTAATTCAATGAATAATTTGTTAATAAACAAATATTTGATCAATTAATTAAACTGTTCATTTTTGTTTTCTACATTCATTTAAATCATAGTTCTAGATCCAATATGAGTACTCTTCTCCTTCTCTTAAAGTCCCTCTCCCCTCCTCTCTAGGATGAATTAGGATTAAATTTAATTTTTTTAAGAAAATAACTTTTAAATTTAAGGAAAAAAGATACTTGAGACCCTTGTACTTTTCTAAAAAAACCAATGTGGTCCTCGATTTTTTTACACTTAATGCAACCTAAAACTTAGAAAAATAACCCAATATGATATTTTGACTAACGATTTCTATGGTTGAATGTTATGATGCTGACGTAATTGTCTATAGTGTTGACGTGACATTCCACGGTGGTTAGTGATGTGGCTGATGATGTAACAGATAAACCAAATTTTTTTTTAAGTTCGATAGTCAAATTGATTTTTTTTAAGTTCAAGAGCTTATTTGATTTTTTAAATATAAATATTTAAAATATAAAATATAAAAATATTAAAAAATTAAATATAAAACACCATTAATTATTATTATTATTTATTGAATAAAAAATTTATATTTAGTTTTAAAATATTATTATTTAATTTAATTTACTATTTTATTTTCTATTGAAATTACAAAGCCAACTTTGTCATTTTTGGTGGTGTTCGATACCGACAACTATCTCTTTTGGCTATGCGATTGTTCCAACTTTCTCCAAGACAGAAACATTTGTTGGCCTGATAATCCTATTTTACCCTTTTTTAATGTTATTTATTTATTTTAGGGCTAATTACCCCATTCATACATGAACTATATCATATTCTTAGTTTCATACATAATGTTTAAAAATTCTCGATTTTATACATGATGTTTTTTGCCTTTAATAGATTCACTCACTTTCATTACGGAAATTGATGTGGAACCCTACGACCACTAATAAAATGACATGTGTCACTTAAAAACATGTTTTTATTTTTTTAGGTAAATTACATCATTCTTCGTTCAGCTATCTTCTCACTCTTATTTTAGTCACTAAAGTAATTTTTTTAATTTAATTATTAAACTATAGAATTACTCTTATTTTAATAACTGAAATTTATTTTATTAATATTTTTATAACATGGCATCATTTAATATCATTTTATTAATATTTTTTATGATGTGGCATCCATTAGTATTATTTTATTAATATTGTTATTACATAAAATTAAAATAAAAAATAAATAAATTAAAATTCTCCAAATGGGTTTAGCAAGTTAAGCTTCTTCACATCATTTTCCTCCAACCCTAAATCTAATAATCATAAGGAATTGGTACATTTCAAAGTTAATATTCTTCACAATACACCGGCTTAGGTACAAATATTCTCAAATAAAATTTTCATACATGATCTGTTTCATTCCTGACCTGCCTAATTTGCACTGGCCTTTTCCCCATTGCCAAGTAGATGGCAGCATACTCGGCTTCAGAATCAACAATCGTCCGTCATAATTGAGCACTGCAATGATTTTCCTGGTCTACCTTTCTTCTATATACATCCGAACACTCTCTTTCGAGCTCGAGCAGCATTTTATCACGGTCAGCATCTCTCTCCCTGACTTCATCCCAGATAATCTAATTCTTTTCAGGGAATCATGAAAGGGTAAATACTATATTACTGTCCTCGCTTTCAGAATCAATACAGGGATGTTTGTATACTCTTTCCAAGGAAAAAAGGGAAGACTTGAAGGTTTCTATTTTGTGGAATATGCATCAATACCTGAAGTTCGTACAGAAGGGTTCCACTTGAATAAATGGATCATTTTTTGTAGTATACATGTTGAAGAATTCCTGCCAAAGTCAATATCTTCAGAAATCAGAAGATACCCAAAGTTCAACCCACAATTTTGATCGCTTCGTCGTCTACTTCAAAAGGCCTAAAAACAGAAACGGAAAATGTTGGTTTCCCATGCTTGACCTAAGCTAATGAACTGAAAAATGGATTACGGGAAGAAACCTAACCATAAATTCGATTAACGAGAAAAGGGTTTGGGTTTCTATGGAAAAGGAAAGCAAGCATTGGGAGAACTCGACCAAAGGTTTTTGAAGAAGAATAGAGGGGTAGGAAGGTTCAAAGTTGAAGGCAAAAGTAACGAAAGTGATTTTAATTAAATAATTTATTTAACTCCGACAAAACCTTCAAATTTAATGGTAATGCCCACAAAAAATCAACATTTATTCGTTTTTTAATTTTGAATTATAAAATAAATTTGAGTTATTAATAGACGCCATGTCATAAAAATTAATAAAATAAATTTGAGTTATTAAAATAAGAGTAATTTTATAGTTTAATAATTAAATTAAAAAAATTAAACTTTAGTAACTAAAATAAGAATGAGAAGATAGTTGAGTGATGAATGGTGTAATTTACCTAAAAAACATATTTTTAAAGTGCCACTTGTCGTTGTCGTAGAGTTCCACGTCACTTTCCGTGACGGGAGTGGGTGAATCTGTTAACGGCAAAAATATCATGTATAAAATTAAGACTTTTTAAACATTATATATGAAACTGGAAATCATGTATAGTTCATATATAAATGAGATAATTAACCCTTTATTTTATTCCCTTCATCAAATAAGAGGCGTGATCACTTAAATTAGTATAAAGTTAAAGTAATTTTATATAATTTTCGTAATTTTCGTAGATTAATATTTTGATAATTTGATGGTCATATTTTATATTATATTCATTTAAATTGTACATGAATAAATGACATAGTTTTAGACCAATATGATAAAGATCATATTAATTCATAGTTTTACATATATATGACAATTTGACAGTTGAATTATTAAATATTAGTTGTACAAAAATGTTATGAAAATATATATTATGTTGTCCTTCTCATAGTTATGAATTCTCATTATCCTTATTTTCATTTGATACATGAATAACCATTTTGATTGACTCTTTTGTTGTAATTTCAATGGAAAATAAAATAGTAAATTAAATTAAATAATAATATTTTAAAATTAAATATAACTTATTTTTATTTAATAAATAATACTAATAATTAATGATATTTTTTCATATTTTATATTTTAAATTTAAAATATTTGTGTTTTTTTAAAAATCAAATAAGTCCTTAAACTTGTAAAAAATTAATTTGGCCCTCAAATTTTAAAAAAAATCAATTTAGCTCATTTGTCATGTCGTAAGCCACATTACCAACTACTGTGAATTGTCTTGACAGCACGGTGGACTACAATGTCAATACTGTGAAATGTCACGTCAGTATCGTAATGGTCAACGACAAAAATCGTTAGTCAAATGATTATATTAAGTTTTTTTTCTAGTTCGATTCACATTAAGTACAAAAAATATTCGAGGGTCACATTTATTTTTTCTAAAAAGTACAGGGCTCAAGTACAATTTCGTTCTCATTGTTCTCCTGCTTCCGTTGCTAATTACTTTCGTCATATCTGTTTCGTTACTTCTGTCATGGTTCTCTCCATTGCTCGTCATCAACACTGTTTTTATGTTGGACTGACTGCTTCTTCGCTCGCTGGCGTTGATCACGAAGTCATCACCGATTATTTCCTCTTCCTCAGTCAACGATCTGATCCAAATCATCTCTTTCGCCACAATTTTGGTTGCATGTTTTTCGTTCTGATAGATAATGTTGTCGTTGTCGCAAATGTTCATTTTCGACGATTCTGGTGACGTTTTCTCGTTGGTGATTGACCTTCTCAACCGCTGTTCTTAATTGCTTCATCTGCTATAGTGCATGTGTTTTGTCGTTGTCGTCATCATCGCTACTGGGAATATTGTCGATTCAACTACTATCCCTGTTCCTGGTATGAAAGAAATTGATTCATAAGTTGTAGTCATTCCGGGAACCTTAGTTGTGCTTTACATTGGATCCAAATTTTCATTTATTTTGGTGATTCGTGTCCTGTTTGGACTTCTATTAGTAGTTGCTGGCGTTGATAGAGTGTTCTGATTTCTTTAAGTTTGCTAGTGTTGATAATCTGCGATAGTTACAGTTCGGTGTGCATGCTTCCAATATGTTCGATCAAATGTTTTAATGATGTTGCTGGTGTCGGATTTGTTTCACCTTGTTGTTATGGAATAGATTGTTTTTTAGAATTTCTTTTCTGAAGGTTTATTCACATCAAAAGTTTGCAGTGAGTTCAATTATTTGCTTCCATTCGTACAAGTTCCTTTAGGTGTTGCAATGTTGTGGATGTGCTGCATTGCTAGTTTATTCTTTGTTAAGGGATTGGTGCTGGAAACTAGTGGAGAATGGGTTGTAAGTTGATGTTGAATGATGGACACTCTTACTACAATGTTGCTTCACTCAGTTATTGACAATTTGATTTCTTCATCCACTGGTATTATTCTCCAAAGTGTGTCATGGAACTTGAAAGCTTAACAACCAAGTTACCATAGAAGGAAATTTATGGGAGGGTTTAGGAGCCTAACAACCTTGCTCTCTTTAACCAGAAAAAATAAGATGTTTTCTTGCCTAAGAGAGGTTTCAGATTACACTTGGGAGCCTGTAGCTTAACCACCTTGTTCCCAACAAAAAGATCGTCCGAATTAGAGAAGAAGAATGACAGTAAAGACGAAAGAAGAAAAAATAACATGTGACGTTTGCAACATGTGTTTTAGTGTGAAAGAAGAATAAAAATTGGTATTCTTAGCTTGCAATTTCCAACTCAACATGCTTGCAAGGTACAACATTGTTTGATCAGCTCTTCAGTCACAAGTTGAATTTTTCAAGAAAATTCAAGAAGAATGAAGAAAGTAGGGCGAATGTTAGAAATATACTATAATAAAATGTAATTAGTTGGTATTGAGTTAGTCAAAACTAACTGAGTTTGTTAAAAGTTGGTTAGTCTGTTGGATCAAAGTTGTTAAGCTTGTTTGAGTGTTGCTATATAAGTACTGTATGTAATGGGTTAGAGTACCTTTCATTAATACGTTTTCAGTATATTTCCCTTCTTTAGGTGAGGTCAATTCTTTGTTTCCATTCGCACAAGTTCCTTTAGGTGTTGCAATGTTGTGGATGTGCTGCATTGCTAGTTTATTCTTTGTTAAGGGATTGGTGCTGGAAACTAGTGGAGAATGGGTTGTAAGTTGATGTTGAATGATGGACACTCTTACTACAATGTTGCTTCACTCAGTTATTGACAATTTGATTTCTTCATCCACTAGTATTTCTTCTCCAAAGTGTGTCATGAAACTTGAAAGCTTAACAACCAAGTTACCATAGAAGGAAATTTATGGGGAGGGTTTAAGAGCCTAACAACCTTGCTCTCTTTATCTAGAAAAAATAAGATGTTTTCTTGCCTAAGAGAGGTTTCAGATTACACTCGAGAACCTGTAGCTTAACCACCTTGTTCCCAACAAAAAGATCGTCCGAATAAGAGAAAGAAAGACAGTAAAGACGAAATAAGAAAAATAACATGAGACGTTTGCAACATGTGCTGTAGTGTAAAAGAAGAGAAAATTGGTATTCTTAGCTTGCAATTTCCAGCTCAACATGCTTGCAAGGTGCGACATTGTTTGATCAGCTCTTTAGTCACAAGTTGAATTTTTCAAGAAAATTCAAGAAGAATGAAGAAAGTAGGGTGAATGTTAGAAATATAATATAATAAAATGTAATTAGTTGGTATTGAATTAGTCAAAACTAATTGAGTTTGTTAAAAGTTGGTTGGTCTGTTGGATCATAGTTGTTAAGCTTGTTTGAGTGGTGCTATATAAGTACTGTTTGTAACTGTTTGTAATGGGTTGGAGTACCTTTCATTAATACGCTTTCAGTATATTTCCCTTCTTTAAGTCTCTCTTCTTATACTCCGGTCTTCGGTCGTTCTTCATATCTTGCCTCCGATGTCTCCTTTCTCACATGTATTGCTTCCATTAACCATGAATAACATCAGTCATAAGTACATCGGAGATAGCTGAAGGAAAGTCATAATATAAAAACAAAGAAGCGGATAAAGATGAATCAAACTTTGCTAATTCATGGGTAGCCGAATTTGCTGTTCTGCGAATACCAAGGACCTTGACGTGTGGATGCTACCGAAGCAGGTTACGAGCCTCAGTTAAGTGAAATCCAACGATGGACATATCCAGCTGTGTGAGGGTTAACTGACGAACAACGTTTAATGTATCACTGTCAATTGTAACCAAAGGAGCCTGTAGATCTAAAGTCATTTTTATCCCATAGCGCAGAGTTTCAGTCTCAGCCACACTGATATCGCATGGCCCGTAGTATGGAGAGGCTTGACAGGAGACCACCAAGCCATTATAGTCTCGAGCCAACATGTCAATCGCCGATCTGTTGGAACTCATCAGGCAAGCAGCATCGACATTTATCTTGATAGATGAATGGGAAGGCTTACAACATTTTTTCTGATGCCAGCCGATCGAGACCCGTTAATCCACTCGCGTTATCAAACGCTCTCAACAAAGGCCGACTGGAAGGCACTACATGCCACACAGATAGTATGAGATTCTCATGCATGAAAGTGTCGTGTCGGTTCCAGATATGATAGAGCAACACCAATATGAAGCGAAACTCATCCCTAGTCAAGATCGTGAGGAGTGATTCTAACCATGGACCAATCGATTCCCAGGATGCGAATATCATATAGGCTCGAAAACCTGCAGCATGGAAAATTGAACTAATGGCACTGCAATCACGCAAGGCATGTTTCAACAAAATGGCTGCAGAAGGGACAATGACCCGTATTTTTTAACCAAATAAAGGATACTAATTAGATGTTAAAATATAAGAATTTATATAAAAAATAACTAAAACGATATTTCGCATGAAAATAAAAAGTAAATAAAAATAAAGATTATGCTAATACATGAATGGAAACGTAATTAGACCATAGAAACCGTCCGTTTTAAGGTAAGAGACCCACACGCTCCTGTGTCGTGAGTTGGAGACTGGTCGGCTTTGGTTGTAAAGTAGTATATATGAAATATTAATCACAAAGACCACACTTAACATCTTCCATCCAAATTCCAAAGTAATTGACCCAATTGGGCCGTTCACTAAACGCGCTCGCTTGGAAAGTGACTTTTTCCATTCCCCCGCAAAACGTTGACGAAAAACAAACCCCTATCTGAAATCTAAATAAACGTTCCCCTCTATTTGTTCGCTTTGAAATTAGCGTTAAGTTCCTTCAAATTATTATTATTATTATTATTTGATTGGATTGGATTGGATTGGATTTTTTTCTTTGTTAATTTCGGGAAATTCTTAATCCAAAAAATGGGGAAGCCGACGGGGAAGAGGAAGCTTCAAGAAGCCGCCCAGAAAGTGGTGGAATCCAACAAGCAAAACAAGTACGTCGGCAGCGGCAGTGGCGGCGGCGAAAACAAGACGTCGAAGGCTTTCGACGAAGGCACGACGATATTCATCAACCTGTCCCAAGAGCTGAAAGAAGAAGGTAACCTTCTCTTCCAAAAACGCGACCACGAAGGTGCGATGTTAAAATACGAAAAAGCCCTTAACCTCCTTCCTAAGAACCACCTCGACGTCGCCTATCTGCGCGGCAACATGGCTGCTTGTTACATGCAAATGGGTATCGGCGAGTACCCACGCGCCATTGATGAATGTAATTTGGCTCTGGAGGTTTCTCCTAGATATTCCAGGGCCTTGTTGAAAAGGGCTAGGTGTTATGAAGCTTTGAATAAATTGGATTTAGCTTATAGGGATGTTTATAATGTTTTAACGATGGAACCCAAAAACTTATCTGCTTTGGATATTATGGAGAGTGTTAAAAAGGCTATGGAGGAGCAGGGTATTACTGTTAATGAAAATGAACTCGGTTTATTTGATAATGAACCGGCACAGTCAATGTGGTTTCTGGATGTGGTGAAGAAGGAGGTGAAGAAGAAGAAGAAGAACAAAGGAAAACATGTTGAGAAAAGTGAAAAGAATGAGGTTAAGGTTGAAGAAGAGAAAAAGGCTGACGAAAAGGTCATTGTGGAGGAGAAGAAGGTTAGTGTTGAGAACGTTAATGATAAGGAGATTGTTGTGAAGACAGTTGAGGAAGAGAAGAAGCCTGTTGTGGAAGCGCAAGCGCCTATGAAGCCTGTGAAAATGGTGCTCGGAGACGATATTCGGTGGGCGCAAATACCGGTCAACTGTACTATTAAGTTGGTGAGGGATATTGCTCAGGCTAGGTTTCCAGGATTGAAGCGTATCCTTGTGAAATACAAGGATCCAGAGGGAGATTTGGTTACAATCACCTCTACTGAGGAACTTGGGTTGGCTGAATCATCTACCAGTGTTGGCGGTGGATCGCTTCGCTTCTATATTGTTGAAACTAGTCCCGACAGGGAACAGGATTATGAAGAAACAAGTAAAGAGGAGGTGGTCAAGAGCGAAGAGAAGTTGAGTAATGTTGTTGATGATATTGGTGATGCAGGCTGTGGTGTAGGAGCTATTAAGGGAACATGTGTTGAGGATTGGATTGTCCAGTTTGCACGTCTGTTCAAGAACTATGTCGGATTTGATTCTGATTCTTACTTGGATCTTCATGAACTTGGGATGAGGTTGTACGCGGAAGCAATGGAGGAGACTGTGACAAGTGAAGATGCACAGGAGATTTTCGAAATAGCTGCGGATAAGTTCCAAGAGATGGCAGCTCTGGCATTGTTCAATTGGGGAAATGTTCATATGTCAAGGGCAAGGAAGCATGTCTATACAGAAGATGGTTCAAAGGAATCCAAATTAGCACATATTTCAAGCGGATACGAGTGGGTGCAAAAAGAGTATGGATTGGCAGCAAAGAAGTATGAGGAAGCATTAAAGATCAAACCAGATTTTTACGAAGCTTTTCTTGCTTTGGGACAACAGCAGTTCGAGCAAGCAAAACTCTGTTGGTACCACGCAGTTGGGAGTAAGCTCGATTTAGAAGCCGGGGTTTCCCAGGAGGTCCTGCAACTTTATAACGAGGCAGAGGACAACATGGAGAAAGGTATGCAGATGTGGGAGGA